AATTAAACTACACATTACTGTTGATGGCGCTATCGTTGTGTAACGATAGCGCAATCGTTCAAAATTTTTTTTTTTTTTTTCCCAACGATTTCCGCGATCATACGTTTTCGTTTGATTCCCATGAAAGTATTTTGGTGAAGCTCGTTTTCCGTTCTTTCCTACAAAATATAGAAACATCGAGATCGGAGTGAAATTGTATATGATAAAGCCTATAATCGTATAAATATCATATAATATAATGTATATAATATACAAAAATACACTAATATATACATGTCATCAATATGGGCTCAAAATTCAAATGGGGTTGTGATTTTTATGTATTTCATGTAATTTTATATTGTTTAATGGACCTTTTTGAAGATAATTTGTAATGCAAAATGCGAAGTTCTATGAAAGTAGGGAAAATCCAATAATTAGTGAAATTATCAAAAAACTAAAAAATTTATACTAGAAACGTGAAACGTAGACGCAAGATCGAAGTTGAATTATTGTCATTTGTATTTCAACAAATAATATCGTTGAAAAAGACTTAACATGGTATTTTATTTTTCTTTGATGGGATTTTAAATCTATTGATGAAAGACAATGATGAATTGTGCACTTCAATGCTAAAGTTATATGATCAACCATATTTAGGCGGCTTATAATTTACTATTTTTAACAAAATAAAAAAAAAAGAATTCGGTTTCTTAAATGACTAAATGTATTCAACAAAAAAAATATATAGAAAAGGCCAAAAAAAGTAAATAGAAAAACTCAGACACCAAGGCAAAACAGGGTAAAACTAACAACCAAAATAACAGAGAAACTCTGTTTTTTTTTTCTTGTTGCTCAAGGAAGACGAAAAAGTTAGGGTTTTGTTTATCCAAGTTCTTTCTCATTTGTTTCTTGCAAGACAAGAAACATTTTTAGATACAAAGACTTCCGGGTGTTCTTTTTATGTACATCTTCTTCCTTGTGTGCGTTCTTCTTTCTGAAACAAAACTTCGCAAACATCGTTCTCTCGTAATGACGGAGCTGAAACCCGGCGTTCTTTTCAAGCTTTTAGAAGAAATGGGTGTCGGAAAAGTTCGGAGAGACGTTGATTTCAGACCGGTTTTGTTGCAGATAAGAAGCATAATCCCATTTTTACCGTCAGGAGGGTTGTGGCCGAGCAAAGGTTTCTTCTTGAGAATATCGGATTCGACGCATTCGATGTATGTCTCGTTGCCCCGAGAGGAGAACGATCTTGTTCTTACCGATACGTTGCAAATCGGGCAACTGATATTCGTCGAGAAACTCGAATTCGCTTATCCAGTCCCTACGATCAAAGGAATAAGGCCAACACCAGGCCGGAGGCCTTGTACTGGCGATCCTATCGATCTCATACCGAAAGAAAGGATCGAGAAATTCTGCGGTATATCCGATAGTTCGTCGAAGCCGCCACCTAACAAACCGAACCACCAAGTGAAGAGGCCGAGGAGAACAAGATGGCACTCGCCAAGCATCTCCGAGATTCAACTTGATGATTTCGGGTTTTCAAATAACCTTTCGAGGGTATTGGAGGACGATACCGAATCCATGGTCACAAATTCCTCGTCCTTATCGTTGTCGAGGCGAAGAAGTAGTATAGGTTTACCAGAACACACGAGGAGACGTGAATCGTTGGAGCCGATGATGATTAAGCGTGACACCAAACGTATATCTCGCGGAAGTTCAACTGTAAGCGTAAGTACTCCAATCTCTAAAAATAAAATCTTATACAACATTCTAAAGGAAACCCTATATCTTATATCCATATTTTGTCGATAATTTTCATTCATAATGCCATATCAAAACATACACTAAGGTAACCTTTGACATCGATACAACACTTATTGAGCTTTAGCCTAGAGGGAATATTAATTAGGGGTGGGTACGAATCGAGCATTCGAGATTTTTAGGTTAACTAAAGTCTCGGATCTCATGAGATATTATACGATTTCGGAATTGTTTTGGTGTCTATGTTGGGTTTTCTGTATCCCAATCATGTGATTCACAATCACATAAAGATCTGGTTCTAGGGTTTATTTAACAAAATACAAAACAAAATTTTTTCAAATCTTAGAGCATGAACGTGCATGCTATAGATCTCAGGGATCAATATACTAAACATTTTGAATCTTTGGGATTCAACAATCACACGATCTGCACCTATAGATCAAAGATTCACAATCACCACAAAGGTGTTGAACCATGCCAACATCCTTTGCAGGTATCTACAGGATGAAATCCAACTCCTTGGGTCGTACGTGTCGGCTAGTGTTTCTAGGAGGCTAGGTTTGTTTCTAAACCTTAGATCTGTTCTAAATACGTCTAGTTCAAATCTAAATTGGTCCACAAAATAACCATGTACCATCTCTCTTAAAATTGAAACTCGTCATTGTCTCTGGATATGATGTAGGCTCTTCATGTTCCAAAAAAATAAGTTTATTTCCATTTTCGAAAAATCTATATCTTACAAATTCTTGGCGAATGCTACCCATATCTCGGAAGTTCACTCACTTTAGGCAAAGTCTCAATAGTTTGAGAGAAAGGTTGAACCATTTTGACATCTTTACTTGGCTTAACAGTTGCGTATGGTTTTTAAGCGTTTTCAAGATCTATTCTTCTCCCACTATCTTTCCTTGAAAACGAACTCTCTTTCCATGAAAAGTATCATTCTGAACAATAAACATTTTATTCTCAGTCTGGTTGTAGAAATAATATCCTTTCATTTTTTTAGGATATCTAACAAACAAACACTCGTTAAATATGGTAGACAACTTGTCTGGAACTAGGCATTTCACATAAACATCACATTTCTAAATCTTCATGACATGATGCAATTCTAAAGTCATGAGTTTGTTTGTGGACTTTAGAACTATTCTAAAGTCATGTGCCGACTTACTTTAAGCAGTTGGGACGAGCCCTTTTTCTAAGCACTCTCGAAACACTGATTTCTACAGAATTCACAATTTGCATAAATCTAAATGGATCTGATCCAGATCTAAATTGGCTATAATACTTGAACTTAGATTCCATTAGCCAAATCCATGTTTTTGAGCAGCAGCCAAATTGGTCTGATTTAAGTCTCCATGTTTTTGAGCAACAATCGATTTTTTCATCAACTTGTCTTTTACACATTTATTCATTCCATCTTTATTTTGTGTGACCTTGTGGGTTGTTTTCTATATACGACCTTAGCTCCAAAATCTAATTTCGGTCTATTAATCGTAAGTGTTCTCTAGTAAGACATTATAACTATCCATAATAAAAGCTATTACAAACGTATATGTTCTCGTATAGTAGATCATTTTAGAGTACTTAAACCATTTAGAACTCGTATATAGACATATTTTTCGTTTGAATACGAAATTTGCTTTTTTTCTCCGAAAATAAATGTCATATATTACAAGTTAACTTGAGTCGTAATCTAAAATTTTCGATTAACCCCAATCCAAATACTTGAACTGAAATTCCATTAGCCAAATCCAAATCCGATTTCCAAGTATTCTCGGTGTTGTACCCCGATCAATGTCTAATGACAGCAGTACCCAATCCGTAGGTCGGGTCGGATACGGTATCCAAAATTTACGAGTTTTTTTTTCCAACCCTAGAGTTACTAAATCAAGAAATGATAAGGAAAAGCAAGGAATTGCAATTTTGGATTTGAAAGATATTGTCAATTTTGATCACAAAGGGGATACGCGAAATCAAAATTTTGAGAGTTGCATTCTATATTTTTCAGGCATCACCGTCTCCTTCTCCACGTTATGGTACTATTAACAGTAAGTCGAGTGTTCGGACGGGGAGAAGAGAAGTGACCGCAGAATCTCCGAGATGGGCAAATAGTTCAAGTCATGGGAGTAAGAGTAAGACGCATCTTTCATCGTCCAGAAGCAACGCCGAGTCTTCTATTCCGCCTAAAAGCGGCTTGGAATCTCCGGGCTCGATATCGAGAAAAAGAAGCTGGACCGAAACATCGATTCTATGGGATTCACTTCCTCCCAAAGTCGTAAATCTCGGAAAGGTGGTCACATTTTTCATATACTAAATATGCTTGTTTGATTCATAAATAGATGATGTCTTAGAGGGTTTACTATATATACGTAGGAAGTTCTAAGGCAAAGAGATACCGCTCTTCACGCCGCCGCCGAGGCTTTACTACAAGCTTCCGCCGCCGAAAGATTGCTCAAATGTCTAAGGTAACATAAAGATTGAATTAGGGTTTCACTACACCTTTTTTTGTTGATGTATAGAATAGATATTGATTTAGGGTTCAAAGAATTATTAGAGAATATGAACCTTCAAAATTAAATTTCAATGGAAACGTTTGGTATAGACCTCAAAACGTTTCTTGCATATTATACTTAAATATATAATATCGAAGCTCCCGCCGCCGAAAGATTGCTCAAATGTCTAAGGTAACATAAAGATTGAATTAGGGTTTCACTACACCTTTTTTTGTTGATGTATAGAATAGATATTGATTTAGGGTTCAAAGAATTATTAGAGAATATGAACCTTCAAAATTAAATTTCAATGGAAACGTTTGGTATAGACCTCAAAACGTTTCTTGCATATTATACTTAAATATATAATATCGAAACACATATGATTATCTGAACGTTCGTTGGCTTGCTTATTCAATGGCAGATCATACTCAGAGCTTCAGACAGAAGAATTCCACAATCAAAATCCATCAATCGGCGAATTCTTCAGTTTCCGAGACGATTTATGCAAGAGCATGCAGATAACGAAGACGTTATCCGGAACATCCGACGCCAATTCCGACACGTTAACTTTACGGAACGATAGACGCGAAAAGGCGAGTCTATGGATCAAAACAGCAATAGCCACGGATCTGAACCCGGTGTCTTTACCAGGAACCAAACCAAATCAAACACCTGAGAAAAAGGCCATCTCCCTAATCTCTCGGAACGACAATAACAGCGAGGAAACCGAAAAATGGGGTACAAGAAAGGAGTATACATTGAGTAAAACAGTGTCGGAACTCGAGAGCTGGCTAAAGAACGAAGAGAGAGGATGGTACTTAGGCCATGTAGAGAAGTATCTTGATGAGATTCATAGTGCAACGAGGTGGAAAGACATGAACAGCAGTAGAATGGCGGAGACGATGCATAGGATAAAGCGAGTGAGTGATTGGTTAGACGCCATGGACAAAGGAGGCGAGGTTATGACAGAGACAGAAGCAGAAGCTTGTAAGAGAGTGAAGAACAAGATTTATAGAATCCTTTTGAAGCACGTCGAGACAACAGCTTCGCTAAGTCAGAGAAAATAGTTCACAACAACAAAAAGTCTTTTCTACTTTGGCGTTTTTGTTGTAGGATAGACTTTTTGGTTTTGTCCGTACAAAACTGTTTTCAAAGGAATCTTGATGTTCGGTTCGGTTCGGTTTGATTTGTCTATGTTCGGTTTTAATTTTCGGGTTTTATTAAGGTAATATCAAAAAACCTTTTTTTTTCCATTTTGTCAAATGGAATCTTTGTTTCTGTTTGTAATTTTTTTGGATCGTGTTGGGTTTTGATTTAAGTTTATTATATATGTTTATTAAAAAATCAGGATGAGTATTTTTATTCGGTTGAATTAAACTACACATTACTGTTCTCAAATTGAATATGGTATAAAAACTGAATAAGTATATATTGTTTTTAAAATAGAATATAAAAACTAAATAAAAACAGAAAATTATTTTTAAAATAATTATTTTTGTTAACAAAATTTGACACCAACCAAATAAAATAAAAATCAAATTTAATACCGTAGGAGAATTAAATCTAGAAGTGGTTGTATTATTAATTGTTCTAGTTTTTCGGATTAATTATCATGACATGAAATTATTAGAGATTTAGTCCGGACCGGTGCAGGTGCGGTCTGTCTGGAACAAGTTACTCTGGAAGATTAGAAAGACTCGAAGGATCGGTCCCACTCCAGACGAACCAAAGACTGCGGAAGCACGCTAAAGTTACACTGTTTTGGAACAAATGCGCTAATTTCATACACATACAAAAGCAAAAGAGCTTCGTTTTGAACGAAAAGAATCAAGGCTGGCAACTTATACGAATTTGATTGAGAAACCTAACGAAAAATTTGGCATTGGGAGAACATGTTGCAATGTAATTATTAGAGATTTAGTCCGGATCGGTGCAGGTGCGGCCTGTCTGAAATATTTTTTTTGAGTAACCGGATATCATAGACTGAAGCCCAAATTAGTCTTGAGACCGAAAGCAAACCATCTGTCTGGAACAAGTTACTCTGGAAGATTACGAAACACTCGAAGACCAATTCGGATCGATCTGAACCCAGTCCAGACGGACCAAAGACCGAATTTCATACATATATAAAAGCAAAAGAGCTTCGTTTTGAAGAAAAAGGTTAGAGCTCAAAATTTAGAGAGCAAAGACAGAGATATTTTTAGGGTTTGTAGAGGACAAGGCATTTATTCTTCCTCTCTATGATCTTGCGCTTTGTTTTGTCTACCCCATTTTCTCTATATTTGTTTTGGTAACCGTAAATATATTGAATCAAAAAATTGTTCGTGTACAACCCGAAAGTACGTCGTAACCAACCACAAATGTATAGGATTCCATCAATGGGATTACAAAATATCTTCTATAAAAGTTTTAGCGATGTAGGCTGGACTGGATCGAAGAGATGATTGATAGCCACTCGTCCTCTAGAGAGGAAGTAAGGTAGATTGGAAACCTATCGCCGAGAAAGGATGATGTCCCGAACAAGCCTGTCAATTTTGATGCGAGTTGTACCAACCGAAGAAGACTCCCTCCTGAAGATTCTAGCATTACGTACGTTCTCGCCAGATCAAATGAGTTGCCGCCAACAATACCAGATTTGCAAACTCCCTCCTCGGCCCCATTCTCCCCACCAAATTCCTAAATAGCCATTCAGAGCAATCAAGTAAGGAAGAGGGGGGAGAGACATAACACGGTGATGCAAAGAAACTCCAAACTTCATAGCTATACTCACATTGGAAGAATAAGTGTAAGTGTGATTCTTGTGTTTCCTGACATAAGACGCATGTGTTGTTTTCCCTGATTCTCCACCGCAGTAGTCGGTCCATGGTAGGTAGCCGACCAAGATAAACTTGCCACAATAAGAAGCTGAGCCGAGGGGTGGTGAATTTCGGCCAGACTGCTCGGGACCAAGGAACAACATGAGATGCAACCCTGATCGAATTCCAAATAGATGATAGAGAAAAGACTTGCATGTAAGTGGTAGATGACGCCTTCCATTCAAATAAATCAGGCCCTGTTTCTACATTAGGAGGCGAGATATAAGTAATTCTGGCTAAGATGGATTGAATATTGTCCGTTCGAGCTCTCGGGAACGACCGTTCTGAACCTTGCACCGCTATCTTAACATATGAATGGAGAGGGACATTAACCAGCCTCGGCCCGGAGGGCCCTGTGATTTAAATGAGAGGGCCCAAGCCTGTCCAATTATCATGTTAAAAGTGAGCGGAGGTTCCATTACCCAACTTATATAGCAGAAATTTTCCCGCTTGTTGTTTGAAGCCCAATAGCTTCCGTAGATTGCAAGATTGCTTCTGATTCGGAAATGTACCTCAAAATCCTTTACTCTTGGAAATGTGTTGCTTTAGCCAAACCACCCAAAGAGAATCCGATTCCTTGAAAATTAGCTAAATATTTTTCAGTCTAAATAGGGCATTGAAATCCTCCAATTTCCTTATAGCGAGCCCTTGGTAGGAATTTTGGAAGCAAGAACACTCTGCCCCATATGAATTTACCATACCATAAATCACCGTGGAGATCAATAGAATTCTCGCCGGGTAAGATAGGTATTTATTAGTCCAGGAGGTCAGCTTTCTCTTCACCCTCTCGATGAGGGGATTATGTTGACGGACAAGAAAAACGATGATGCTTTGGATCTAGCGGAATCTGCCAAACTTGAAGAATACAAAGACACTAAAGCAACCAAAGTCTCTCATACATGGGAATACAATAACATGTGCATGGCTACTTTCCTAATCAAGCAACAACCATATCTCGTCACCTCTAGTCAAGAATTTGTCACGGACTTAATAGTATGGCAAATGGATCATCATATCAAGCAAATTTCCTTATGTAGTCCACAACATATTTGTATTTCCTTATTTTACATTCTAACGGTTCTAAGTTACCTTTTCTCCTTAGTTTGTATTCTTGTATATATGTAAACATAATGCTGTATATTTTATGATATGGGAATAAAGTGATTTTTAGTAATCACCCCAAGAAAACTCCATCACATCTTCAACCCCTTTTTTTCTTGGCTATTCAATCAAATTCATTTCAGAATCGATTTCTTCTTCAAATCATTCTAAATTTCTTATTTTCTTTATGGTATCAGAGCTTCTGGGTTTTTCTAGTTTGTTGGTCTTTTCATAAAAAAAATAATCGTTGATAATGAGAATGAAGATGAAGATGATGATACACCGATCCAGTGGTGATATCATTTAGAGTTTTTTTCTATTAAGAATAAGAGAGTCATTTTGTTTATTTTTTTATTTTCTCTCATAATTCCACATGTTTCCAAAGATTATTCGCATAACAACCAATCATCTTATTCTTGCCAAAAAAAATTGCTGTCACTAAAGCTTTCGTATAGTTGCCTTCTAATCTCGAATGAATCAGAGTTATTCCCGAGACTCCTTTTTTACACCGCGATTGTCGTCCTTTTTGTTATCATTGAACGCTTCTTTAATTTATGTGTATTGCCAAATTTGTAGTGCAGTCGTTCGTTTGATTTTTTTATATTTTCTATTAACACAAGTAAACAAGATGATGTGGTTCAAACGACATGCATTTGATCATCTTTTATGGAAATTTGGTATTTCATGATCTTCACACTCCAACTTGAAGGGGAATGTTGAGATATACCGGATCTTGAAGAATATTACGAGATATATCATATAATAGAGATCTTACCAAATCCAGAAAATATATATTTAAAAATATTTATTTATATATTTAGTTTACTTATTAAATGTAAGACTCTCATCTATTTATATATTATTTTAATTATCAATAAAACAAATCATTCCATAAATTTTTTTATGGCATCACTGCACTAAGGTTCTAGGACCCCTCTGTTATTCATTTTTTTCCGTTGTACCAAATCGCATCAATGGAGGCTCATATGTCCAAAAGAGATGAAGAAATCCTCGAAATCTTCATGTACGTACGAACTCTCAATTTCATCCGTAACGTCATAAATGAGATGACTTTGGAGCAGATAAAACGTGAGAGCACGATTCTGTGGTCAAAACTTGAAGCACTTCATCCCGCATCAAGTAGCAGTGAAAGGGCCAACATGAATGCACCCCTCGTTTACCTCTCAATGCTAGATGGTTCCTTCAACGAATTGAGTCTTAAAATACTAAACGATGAATCTCTACCGTCGATTAATGAAGGTAGGGCGATGGTGAGCAAAGTGAAGTTGGACAGGCTGCTACAAGGGAGAACACAATGTAAGTATAGCGAAATCGAATACTATAATGATGCTTATTATGGTTTTTGTGTAAAAGTTTTGCAGAGGCTAAAAGATGAGGCCATCTATCAATAAGATGAGAACAAAGTAGTGCACTACAAAGAGGAACAAACACCCACAATTCCCACAGAAAACAAAACATCCATCAAAACCGAAATGGATAACGACGAAAACATAGAGATAGACGAAACCCTTGTGCGATCTGAAAATGACCAGATCTTAGGAAGAGATTGAACAAGAGAAGTTGAGGGATGGATAGAGACGAAAACCATGGTGGGCAAGAGCAGCCGGACGGACTATTCTAGTGAGTCTAGTGACTATTCCAAGAGGAACATAATTTCCAAAGTGAAGCGAGGACCAAGACGATGATGCTACTGTCCAAATCCATTCAATATGACATAGAACGGATTCGTTCGGTTAAAGGAGAAATTTTCTGCCTACTTATTCCCAGACCGTTGGTCTGAGGGGAAATGTAAGGTGAAACTTCGTATCAAAGGTAAAACTCTTTATCTACTCCTGTTTGATTATAGTCATATTTTTACAGTCTTATTTTTGGTTTCTTATGTTAAACGGAGTGCATTGGCCTCCTTTGTGTTATTTGATCGGTTTGATAAGTTTTGACAGACTTTCGATACGGATTTAAAGAAGAATCGTAGATATAAAGGGGGAAAATGTGTGCTCATATATGATCAGTCTTCAAAACCGAATGAGCAACAATGGAAGGAGATGAAACACATATGGACGGGTCTATGCAACCATGAAGGCATTCGCTTGTCAAGATTGACTTTTCGACATTTCTCCAAGCCAATCTTGAGGAAGAATGTTGATGGACAAGAAAACGATGATGCTATGGATCTAGCGGAATCTAACGAACATGAAGAATACAAAGACACTAAGGCAACTAACGTCTCTCATACATGGGAATACAATAACATGTGAATGCATGGCATGTGGATTACTTTCCTAATCAAGCAACAACCATATCTCGTCATCTCTTGTCAAG